AGGCAACACATTGTTCCATCATATGCTGAGCCATGACTACATTATACATTGTCCTGATACACCCACTCAAGTCAACTACCGAGCTGATCTTACTCCGACTAATCCTGACTTAGTTCTATCGTTGAATGTCAATAGTATCCATGATATTCAAGTTCTACCAGCCCTATCATCTAATCACTTTCCTGTACTGTTCACAATCAATGGTTTTTGTTCTCGCAAACCCATTCCTAAAGTCTACTCTTATGTTAACACTGATTGGAAAAAGTACCGTTCTTTTCTTGATCAGCATATATTTCTAAGCTCGAATGTGTTCAAGTCGGAGCCAGAAATTGACGAAGCCGTGGGCCACTTACACCAATGCCTCATTGAAGCCAGAGATAAATTTGTTACTGCTAAACAACCTATTAACACTAACAATGTCTTACCTAGCTACATTACAAAAATAATTAAATACAAAAACTTTTTAAGGCGTAAAGAACAAAAAGCACTAACTGCAGACAAAAGACATTTAAGATCAGCTATCAATTATTTACAAAAACTTATCAAGTTACATATTGTAAAATATCAAGACACATTATGGAATTCAAAACTTTCTAAAGTTGACAATCCTGGCAACGATTTATGGCGTCTGGTGAAAACTCTTAAGCCTAAATCTGACACAATACCTCCACTTAAAACTTCCGACGGCTTATTAACAGCGAACACGTCTGAGCAGTGTGAGGTCTTAGCAGATACTTTCGCGATGAACATGAACCTAACCCACGACTGGGTTAGCGATAGTGTTGAAACGGATGTTCAATCAGCTATAACCGTCTTAAATAATCATGCCATAGAAAATTTTCATCAACCAGTCCGGCCTACTCAAGTCTGGAAAGTTATACGTAAACTTAAGACTAGAAAGGCACCTGGCGATGATGGAATACACAATATAATGCTTAAAAACCTGTCACAAAAGTCAATTGTGTATATTACCAAAATATTTAATGGTTGCATAAAGTTGGGTTATTTTCCTCATATGTGGAAAACTGCAAAAGTTATTGCTCTGAAAAAACCAGGAAAGGACATTGCATTGCCGACCAGCTATAGGCCCATCAGCCTTCTACCAGTCCTAGGTAAACTTTTTGAGGTATTGATATATGATCGGTTGCGGCTATCCTCAGAACAGCTTATCCGGAACGAGCAATTTGGCTTTCGTTCATCTCACTCCACGGTGCAACAACTGGCCAGAGTTTCCGAACATATATCTTATCATCTTAATCATAAACAGTCTACCGGCATGTTCCTTCTTGATATCGAAAAAGCTTTCGATACTGTCTGGCATGATGGCTTGTTATACAAGCTCATCTCTTTCGGAATTCCATTGAATTTAGTAAAACTAATTCAGTCCTACCTCAGTGATCGCAAGTTCGTGGTACATATTGGCTCTAATAGGTCGTCATCCCGGGTGATGATGGCTGGGGTACCGCAGGGGTCAGTGCTTGGTCCTTACCTCTTTGTCCTGTATGTTAATGACTTGCCTGTGCAAGTCCGTACCCATTTAGCCTGTTTTGCTGATGATACAGCGTCTTATACTTCAGATAGCGACGTTGACATTATCATTAGCCGACTTCAGATGTCTCTTGAATTACTCCAGTCTTACTTCAATAAATGGAAGCTCAAATTGAATGAATCTAAAACTGAAGCCATTCTTTTTACACGTCAACGTAACGTCCCTAAAAGAAATTTGAATATTTCTGGTCAGTCCATTCCTTGGAGTGCAGCAGTTCGCTACCTGGGTATCACGCTGGACAAAAGGTTAAACTGGACTAAACACATAGCAAAATTACGTGTCAAGGGAGCACAAGCACTAGGTTCCCTAAGCCCTATACTCAACCGTAAGAGCAGACTCAGCCCTAAGACAAAAATTAGACTATACACAACCTTAATTAGACCTTGCATCACCTATTCATGTCCAGTATGGAGCAATACTTGTGAATCAAATTATAAACATTTACAGATTCTACAAAATAAAGCTGTTAAAATCGCTTATAATACTCCATTTTTAACTAATCTCCAAATACTTCACTCGAAAATTAATTTACCAAACATAACACAATATATTTTAAAACTAACTCGCAAATTTTACAGTAAAAATAAATGTCACTATAATACTTTGATTGCCGACATAGGGCGAAAAGATTTGAATGATTTGCATGGTATCGATAGATATGGTACATACAAGCTCCCACATCACTACGTTTTGTTCGCACACAAAACTGATACCATCGTAGCATGAGCCACGCACTGCGCCAGCGCTGCCCCGCTCTCGTCACTAAACCGTGAGGAGGCGCGGGGCGCGGGGGCTCAGTCGCTGTGGTATCTTGGTGCGGCTACCTGCGTTGCCACTGTTCGCAACATTTTATGTATGCGCGTAATTAATGTATTTTTACCCTCGAACTATAATAATGGAATCATTACAATGATTTCATATGTATAACATTATTAAATTATCATAATATCAAGCATACATAACCTACTTATTGTTTTAAAATACTTAAAAAGGCTTACACAGCCTGTAAAAGTGTTGTTATTTGAAGACGGAATTGTGACTTGTATTGTAAGTTTTTCAATTTGTGTACACCTACTTATTTTAATAAAGAATTTTATAAAACAAACAAGTCCCAAAAAGGCAATAAAATCCAAGGAAAGCAAAACCAACAGGTTCCCTATGACTGTATCCATTTACTTGTTTTTATGAGTGTCATTAATAATTACTACACTAGAGCTTTTTTCTGTATACTCACGTGAGTAACCCGCGATTTTGATTTAACTCGTCGAGTACCGTCATTATAGACACAATTATAGAACAATAGGTTGCGGTCACCGGTGACCGCTTGGTGTTTGACAGTTTAATTTAGAGGTAGTGTCTCAAGACAGTTATTATAAAAACATTACAGATGCGTATTCGCAACCAGTATTTAACTTCTCAAAATCTTTTGAGAATAAGATTATTTTACACTGATGAACATATTACTAATATATTGAAACGTGATCAAAGGTAACTTAGCTTCTGATAGCTCCTTAGTCTTCCGTGTGACGTCACACATATGGATAACTTAGCTATGCTTTGTATGTGGTTAGTGGCTTTGATAATGGGACCAAGTTTGTGTAGTTCGTAGTATATAGATGTGCTATTGAAGGAATTTCTGTGAACGAAGTTATGCTCAAATACCTTGGTTTAGTGTAGTTAATGGAGACGATCGTGTTGGGAATATTACGCGAATTTAACACTAGCTAGGAGCAACGTCTTTAAAAAAAAGCTGATGGTTCCGCCACTGGGCACATCATACCGACGATTATTTATTATCGAGGAGGTTAAGATGCCTGTTTCTTTGAGAAAGTGAGCAAGTGTGGTGAGTGATGCTTGCAATAGACCGCGCACAATTCCAGACTCCATACTACTACTGAGATTATTTGAAAAAGTCCAGTAATACTTTGCTCGAGCCGGGAATCAAATCCGAAACCCCTTGCCCGGCAGTCGCACTTGCGACCAATCGGCCAGCGAGGCAGTCACGAGCATCTTATTCTCTATACGTAGAACTAATTGATTTAAGTTACGTAAAAATGATTTATTTTTGTCAGCTTTGTTTCGTACCCTGTATAGAGATATAGGTCATATAAGGATACCACACAGAGATAAACAGACAACTATGTTTAATTAGTTCCCTTTGACATATGAGCTTTCACCGCCAGGGTCTTGAACAGTGAACCGCCTCAGGGGTTCCGAAATTTGACGGAGCGGAAGCAACTTCGGAACTCAAAGATCTATATTTAGTAAGGCTCTGTATATGTGTTTATATTATCTGTGGCAAGCTGGCCACTTTCAAGAGTGGAAACATAAATAAGTACTTCTTTTATTTTTTGAAATATATTCAGTGTGCTTCTGACTTGCTTGTTTAATTCACATGTAAGAGGTATAATATATTCACAGGTTTGTATGTATTTAACACTTCTATGTTGTAATAAGGCGGGCGGGTCTGCGGACGGCGAGCAAGGGTAGCTCGCCGCCCGACCAGAACCAGACCTGTGCGTACGGCCACCACAGGTGGGACCTAGTAGAGCTGATGCCCGACACGGAGCTGCGGAAGGCCTAACGGGTTGCTGGGGCTCCGGCTTGAAGAGCAGGAGTAGGAACGAGGTGGTTTTTAGTCAGTAAGAGTCCGACATTCCCTCTCGCCTACCCGAAGGCAGAAGAAGTCATTGGATGATTTTCCCCCCCTCAAAAAAAATATTGTAATAAGGGCTAGTTTCGATTGTAGTTGTCGTTTGTATTTGACATTCTGTATAAGCTTGCAAGGTCACACGTTTGTTAAGATGATTTTGAGTCTATTTGGTGTTGATTACACATTGACATTCAGTAGGCTGCGCGACATGCATCGCCGCGACCGCGCACGCTGCTCATGAGGAACAATCCCCCTGTGTTTCGCAATGAGCAATTAATGAATAACCCGCTATTTTTAGTTAACATTGACAATCCTCAAAGCCACCAATTCCTGTGGTGTTTGGAATCCAACTATTCTAATTGAACTATTCTAAGTGGTTCCAATGTCCGTGGGTGGCACCGATTGCTTATCATCAGGTGAATCGTCTGCTCGCTCTATAGCCCAATAGTGAACTTACATGAGCTGTTGATGATGATATTTGCTACAATTTGTATTTTATAATAAACTAGCTTTTACCCGCTGCTTCGCTCGCGTCACAAAAGGATAAAAAGCCAATGTGACATATACCAATACACACAGCGCCATTTATACCAATACTTTTGTTTTCCCTCGGGAATATCAAATTTTTCCGGGATAAAAAGTACCCTATTATTTAATCCGGACTTCTAACTATACATCTGCAAAAATTCAAAGCAATCGGTTTAGTAGTTACGGTGTGAAAGCGGAACAAACAAACAAACATACTCACTTTCCGATTTATAATATTAGTAAGGATGATATGGTACACTATGAACTCACCATGTTCGAGCGACTGGTGCGTGACAAACGTAGATGTAGCGCTGCACTGCCAGAGCCAGGGTTAGCCAGATACTCGCCGTGTGGAACATTGCCGGTATGACCTGCAGATAAACCAAAAAGTACCGGTTATTTATGAGTGCTTCTAAAGCTTTCGATGTACAATTTACTAATATGTATAAAACTAAATAAAACTGTGTATGAGTGGCTGATTGCAGACTGATAGATAACGCTCAACCGAGATTACTGAACCTGAAAATTAACATGTGTGTTTCCTGAAGTATGTAGGGAGCACTAAGAGAACATTATCCTAGATTCATACGGGAACAGTAAAAACGGGAGTCACTTTGTGCGGACGGATTCAGTGGCAGAAGCAGACGAAGCACCTGAGCAATCGGCGCCGCCCATGAACACCCGAAACTCTAGAGGCGTTATAAGTGCAATTATACCCGAATAGGAGAGGATTGATTCAGGGATTGGGGAGATTAGGAAGGTGGTAATTGGGCTCCGGTAACCTCACTCACACAACACAAGCGTTGTTTCACATTGGTGTTTTGTGAGGCCGTGGTACCACTCCGATCGAGCTGGCCCATTTGTGCCAAAGCATGGCTCTCTCATGCTTAATATTAAAACAAGACCATACTGAATAGGCCTCCTAATAACACCATCTATGATACATCCAGATCATTCCATATCCTTGTTGACAAAACAATCGACTAAACTAATACAACTTATTGATACATCCACTCGAAGACGAACAGTTGTGACGTCACAGGTACAATCGGCCTATTTCCGCTTGTCGAGACGAGTTCCATAGGAAATGACATAGTCTACTCTTATGAACTTAGGTAATTGTAGTATGCTTCGTTTTGGGGATACGTATTTATGGGTAATTAATTATATAGTAATACTAGATTTTGCTTATGACTTTGTTCATAAATATGTGTTTAAAAACCTACTTTTACTTTTGATTTAGACACTTTATACGTATATAATTGACTTTGACTGCACGGTTGGTGCGGTGGCTGGGCAATCGGCTGCCGTGCAACGTGTCGCGGGTTCGATTCCCGCACGGGACAACACTTTGTGTGATCCACAAAATGTTGTTACGGGTCTGGGTGTCATTGTGTATGTGAACTTGTATGTTTGTAAACGCACCCACGACACAGGAGAAAATCCTAATGTGGGGCAACGTTTTATTTTTAAAAAGAAAAAAAAACATACAATAGGTAATTATTATTTTTTTATATTTGATGGAACGACGTTTGACCACTGTCTCGCCTGGTGGTAAGCTATGATGAGGTCTACGATGGAGCATAAAATAATATAGGTACCAATTAGGTGTCATATAAATGTATAATAAAAATATTTTTTTAAATGGTAACATTAATAATGACGTTTCTTGCTAGTTTTTCTCCATTCGAAACTACACTTTGGGACGAGCATCTAGCTGCACACAGACACACAGACGGACGGACAATTCTATTTTGACGTTTCAAAATTTTTATAATTAAGGATTAATTGAAACAAATGCTTTGACTTTGATAAACCAAATTTTAATATAAGTACAGCTATAGATACATCAGACTATATAAAACGAGTTCATCATGGTTTATGGTCCAGCTTTGTATGATCTTATGGCTTGTTTAAGCGCACTAATCTCCTGAACTACTGGTCCGTTTTGCATAATTATTTTTGTGTTGGATTTTGCATTTTCGGGGAAGATGTTCACGCTATGGCCAAAACGAGCAGAACAGCAGATGAAAACCTGCGGAAGTAGCTAGTGTATTATTTCATCATCAACAGCTTATGAATGCCCACTGCTGAGCAAAGCCTATTCTCACATGGAAAAGGTTTGAGCATTAATCACCACGCTTGCTCAATGCGGGTTGGCGATTTCAAACTCATAATTAGAATTTATAAGCCCAGTTTTCCTCACGTTGTTTTTCTCTCACCGTTTGTCAGTAGTGTCTAAATAATCTTAGAAAGTAGGTAGGTATAACTCGGAAAAGCTCACATTGGCTCACCGATGGTAGGTTTCCCATTAACCCGTACCCTCATGCATGAGAAGCGGGCGTCTTAAACCTCTGGGCCACCACGACACCCCGAATATTATTTATAGAAAATATAATTATAGCGGCTTAGATTAAACTCAAGGACTCCAAGAGCTAAGATTATTATAAACAATATATTTGTGTTAGCAATTGAGCTCATCTCAATCTCAATGCTTATACGATAACGCTTAATCTGGCTTCAGCTCTAGAGCTGAATACGGGCATATTTGAATATTAATAATACATTGAGGGTGTTCAATAGGAATGGGGTAATTCAATGGGTTTATTAAATTACACTAACAAATGGGAACATTTTTAGTTTTTTATGCCGCTGAAGGGATGGATTTGCATCTTGCAGCAAGCAGTATGTAGCACCGCCCTCCTGCCTACATATAAACGCTCATGCAGCAACGATGCGACACAAAGTCAAAGTCAAAGTCAAAATCATTTATTTCAATTAGATCAGGAAAGCACTTTTATCTCGTCGAGTACCGTCATTATAGACACAATTATAGAACAATAGGTTGCAGTCACCGGTGACCGCTTGGTGTTTGACAGTTTAAACGTCAAAATAAAATATTGAAATATTAAAAAAATGTCAGTCTGTATTTGCTCGTTCCAAAGTGTAGAATCCTATAGAGAAGAACGAGCAAGTAACTCCATAGGTTACTCTTTTTCAATCAGGTTCAGTACTTTTTTATAACATATCCCCCCCCTCCCCTTTTCCCAGAAAGGGTAGGCAGAGGTGCACATTACGGCACCTAATGCCACTGTACAATGTAACACCCACTTTCACTGTTTATGTTATGAGTCTCATGTAATAGGGGGTGAGTATATTGCCATATTCCGGGCATAATTTCAGACTCCTTGCTACTAATGAATTAAAAAAAACCAGTAATACTTTGCCCGACTCGGGAATCGAACCAAAGATCCCTTGCCCGGCAGTCGCACTTGTTATTTGTATTTATAATATTAATATTACTTAGTTCTTATTATTATTTTAGTATTTATTATGTATATTTGGGAATATTAATAAAGTATTAATAAATAATAATATCGTCGATACTGTGCCACAGTGGGTTGTAAATTAATGGATGGCATCCGTTATTACCTAATGGTTAATCCATTATAATTAAAACAGAAATATATACACATATACTGATACAAAAATAAGAGTATCTGTTTGTTATACTAAAATAACAGCTTTTTACTACATACATACGATACTCATACAAAAATATTTTTTTTTTTTTTTTATGGCATAAGCCGGTAAACGAGCAGACGGATCACCTGATGGAAAGCAATCGGCGTCGCCCATGGACACCTGGAACACCAGAGGCGTTACAAGTGCGTTACCGGCTATTTGTGGATTAGGAGTTTGAGGATTGTTGGGGATTCAGGGATTGGGGAGATTGGGGAAGGGGAGGGAAATTGGGCCTCCGGTAACCTCACTCACGCGACGAAACACAATGCAAGCATTGCTTCACGTCGGTTTTCTGTGAGGCCGTGGTATTACTCCGGTCGAGCCGGCCCATTCGTGCCGAAGCATGGCTCTCCCACAAATAATATATTTTACAATTTTTGTCTCTCTGTCTTTTGTTTGTACTGGCTCTGAAATGGCTGGACCGATTTTGCAGGAGTTTTATTGGCAGGTAGCTGATGTACTAAGAAGTAACATAATCTACTTTTATTTTGGAATATTGAAATAAAAACAAGTTAAGATAACATCCCGCCTTTTATCCTCAAAGGGGTAGGCAGAGGTGCACATTATACGACTGTACAATGTAACACCCACTTTTCACTATTTATGTTATGAGTCCCATGCAATTGGGGGTGAGCCTATTGCCATATACCGGGCACAGTTCCAGACTCCGTGCTACTACTGAGAATTTTTTTAAAAACCCAGTAATACTTTGCCCGACCCGGGAATCGAACCCGAGACCCCTTGCTCGGCAGTCGCAATTGCGACCACTCGGCCAACGAGGCAGTCAAAAACAAGTTATGTTCTAAAATTCATACTCAACGCAAACGAAGTCGCGGACAACACCTAGTTATAAGTAAAACAGAAATATTGTACAAATCCAGATTAATGGATTTTGTCTGTGTATCAGTTTGAAACTAATTGAAAAACAAATAAACGAAGTGATTTGTCAAGAACTGTTTACGTATGTCTAGATGTTTGTCTCCTTTTTTCTTAAACTGTCAAACACCAAGCGGTCACCGGTGACCGCAACCTATTGTCCTATAATTGTGTCTACAAAACCGGTACTCGACGAGTTAATTTTGTTTCAAGGTTTATTTTGCTGCTAAAATCAGGTATAATACTGGCGTAAAGAAATTAAAATTACAGTATCATTACACTTAGTACCCGCGCCCACGTCAGGCATGATCACCTCGCCAGGGAGCTTACTCTTGAATCCAATTCCGATCGATCGACATAGGTAATTTGGTTTATGAACTTTCGTACTCTTGAGTTGCAACAATAGCGCATCCGTATTGCGTGGATATTGAATGAACTAAATGGTATTGAGTTTGGCTTTATATTCCGTACTCTGAATGCTATTTTAACAGCTACGATAGGGGTGGTATAGTTTTAACATTGAATAATTATTGAGATTTTATTCTATTGAAATTACATTGACATTCAGATTGATAGCTTGCAGAGTACGGAATATAAAACCAAACTCAATACCATTTAGTTCATTCAATATCCACGCAATACGGATGCAATGGGCGCTAGTGTTGCAAATCAAGAGTACGAAATTTCACAATACCAATGTCGAACGATCGAAATTGGATTCAAGAGTAAGACCCCTGGTCGGAGGATCCTTTTCTACCGATCATAGATAACTTTACTCTCTGCTTCTTAAAAATAAAAAGTTTCAAAACACGACAAATCTGGAGTCTGAATCAGATAAAAGGATTTTAATATTTAAAATTAAGTATTCGTGCTTACAATTTTACAATAGACAACTTTATAATAAAAAGAATTGTCTGTAGGTAAAATGAAAAGCAATCAAGCAAAATGCTTTACGAACACTTTGAAAGAA